CCCCATCAGGGCCCCATTCCTGGAACGTGGGCCGTTTCACAGGAAAGATGACTAGCCTGCTTTCCTCCCCAGGATGGTGGGGAAGCAAGAGCTGCTCCACCCTGGCTGAGACAGGCTTCCCAGCACCCACAAGGCTAAGGCAAGCAGAGCTGTAGCACTTGCCCTCCAGGTCCTAACTTGAGAAGAGATGAGGAAGAGAGAGAGGAAGGAGCTGATGAAGGCTGCTTCATCCAGGATGGATGGTGCTGACAAAACTAGCTGCCCTGGAGAGCAGCGATATGTTTTATGCTGTGTCAGCTGTGCCTCTTCTCCAAGTGCATAGCTGGTACCAAGCCCATGTCACATAAAGGGGAAGGGTTGGTGCACCCTTGTTGCCTGACGGGTGAGTTCAGGTTTTAATGAACAAGGCCAGTCCCCAGAGAAGGTCCCACAGAGGATGATGCTGAGCTGGCCTGTTCTCAGGGCAGCCCACAGGCTGGAGGTGACAAGGCTTAAGGCCCTGTGCTGGTGCCATGAGCCCTGCGGCTGCTTTTCCTACAGCTCCTCATTCCTCTTCCCTGGAGAGCTCTTGTGGTGGGAGCTGATTGGAGCTGAGGGAAGAGCCCATGGTGGTGGCAATCTTATTGCTTAGGTGGAAATGTTAAAGTTAGGGACATCCGCAGCTGGCCTCAGAGCTGGGAGAGAGAAGCCAGCATGCCAGTGATTTCAGGGCTTTGTGCTGTACAACTGCCATGAGCAGGGCCAGTGTTTTTCTGCTTTCCAGAGAGCACAAGCTCAGGACCTATTTCAGCTGCTTCTTCCCGAACAGGTCCTGCTCTGAACCCATGCAGGAGATGTTCACTGGCCTTTGCAGCATTCCAGTGCATTGCAGCGATGCCCAGTGCTGAGCTCTGTGGAGGATTTGTGCCAGGGCTCACTCCACTGGCTGGCACCACGGCACTGTCCTTCTCCGCTGACCTCAGCCTCGGAGCGAATGGATCTCTCGACTGGGGATGAGAACATCTGCAATGCTCAGCTGAACGAGCACTCCAGCAAGGACTCCTTCTGCAGGAGGAGGTCAGGCAGCTCTGCTCTTCCAGGTACAGTGGTGAATGGCCAGACGTTTGCGAGATGGAGATTACAGCGTGCGCGTATCCTGATTCCTGGCTGCGTGTCGCTGGGAGAAAGGGAAGGGATACACCGGGAGTCTTGCCAACACCTGCACCTCTGCTTGGGAGGGTGAAGGAGGAGGGAAGGGGTTGCCACTTTCCCCAGGGACAGCAGCTATCCACATGCTGCCCCAAGGCTCAGCACCCACTTCTGTGCACTGCAGAGCACCTCCCTCAGTAAATCCCCCCTCTCTCCCAGGGGTCATTCCCCACTCTGAGAGCATCCCCGCAGTCTGTCCCAGCCCCTGTCCCCGGCTGGCGTGCAAAGCTAGCGAGCACCCGTGCACACACACGCGCCCTCCCAGCTCCCGGGAGCCTTGGCGAGGCAAAGAAGTGAGTCTTTGTCAGCACACAGTGCCAGCCCCGGCTTCAGAGCCAGCTGACGCCAGGGACCAGCAAACCCTCTCCAGCAGGAGCCAGCGCAGCCCGCAGGCAGCTAAGGCATGGGGCCTCGGCTCGTGGGGCTGGCGGCAGCCCTGGCCCTCCTGTGCCTTCCCACCGGGGTCACGGCAGCCCCCGAATTTTCTGGTGAGTGGGGCTGGTGTCCGGGGGAGAGCCGGGACACGGCCGCTGGCAGCCAGGCGATGCGGTCGGAGAGGGTGGGGATGGCAGCGCGGCTTCCTCGAATTGTGCGCGCCGGGCGGGCTCTCCGGGCACCATGCTGGCACCAGGGGAGCTCCGCGGGAGAGCTGGGGTGTGATGGGGACCAAGGGGGTGCAAGGCAGCCCAGGCCACGCTGAGCTCTCAAAACAACATGTATATTAGCTATTTATTATCCCCAGGTCAGAGGTGGGACCCGAAAAGCTCTCCTGTACGTGTGTTAGCCCTTCCCAAAGGCCAAGGGCAGGATAGCCCAGCAGCCGCTGGCCAAAAAACAGCTTGAGAGGAACCGCTTGTCTGGGTGGAGAGCGAAAGCGGATGCGCAGAGGGTATTTTGAGCCGCGGTCAAAGCCTGCCACATTCACCTTCTCCCGCGCGCCGCCTCACACGGGAGCGCGGCAAGATGCTTTTCAGGGAGGGCTGCGGTGGGAGAGGATGTGATTTCATCTGGGCTGAGTTAACTTCATAACCAGAGACTGGGGCTGAGTCACCGGAGCCCCCTCGCTGTTGTTGCCCTGAAACGGAGGGCTGCGCAAGCGCCCGGCCACAGCGCTGCCAGAGGGACATGGGGCAGTGCACCCTCCCGCAGGGTCCCTCTGATTTAAGGTAAAAACTGCCGGTCCTGCAAAGTGTGGCATGGGGTGCCTTCTGCAAAGCAGCAAGGGGGAAATCTTGTCCAAACTTGCAAATAAAAATCAAGTTAAAACCTTGAGGTCAGTAGAGAACTCCCGTCCCTGAGGAGATCAGCATAGGGTTTGCACTTGAGCGTGCACACCAGGGATGTGTGTCCTGTGTCTTTAAGTCTTTGAGCCTTCGTGAGAGATTTAAAGAGTGGCTTTAGGTGTTTCTCCGTAACAGTGATCCAGGAGCAATTTCTCTGGGAGCACCTTGCTAGAGCCCTGGAGTTGCTGCAAGTCTTAGTGCTTTTCCCTCCTGTGTGTTCATCTGGGAGACGATCCCTGGGTGGCAGTTTGATCTTCTCAAAGCATTCCAGAGGAGGAGCAGGGCTCTGGAGAGCTTGCTTCTCCTGGTGCAGGGATGGGAGTTAGGACATAGCAGAGAGAGAAAAGCATCTGAGAAAGGTCACGTCTCCCCATTTCCATCCCTTCGCGTCTGTAGGCACCATGGCCCAAGTGAAGCCTCCTGTGACAGGTGGCAAATGCAAAGAGAAAAGGGTAGAGAAGTGCCAGCAGCTGGCTGTGCCCATGGAAAAATTAGCCCTTGGGCAGGAGCAGCTCCCAGCTGCCCGCCCTGACTGTCCGCCAGGGACGGCGGCGGCTCCGGAGAGCAGCCCCGGTTCCCGGTGCGGAAGGGTTTGTGTCAGTGCTGGTGCTGCAAGAAGGTGAAAAGGGCCCTTTGTGTGGCCGAGCCTGGCACTGGGGTGTCCAGGCGGACACGGGGAGAAGCGCAGCGCTGTGACCCAGCCCCTGTCCCAGCTTGGCCTGGCTGCCAGGCAGCAGTCCCTGTGCTGCCAGTGTGAGCAGCAGCCTTGGGGACAGCAGAGACCAAAGTCACCCTTCCCTCGTCATCCCCGGTTTGCCTTCCAAGCTCTCTCCTGCATCTATCTCTATTCAGAGACTGGGGAAAGTGGAAGACATGGTATGGATAAACTGTGCCAGGTCCTGTGTGCTTAATGATGCCGCCACCTTGATTTGTTGGGATTTCTTTCTCAAGTGCCTCCTGCTGCCGCAGAGCTTGTGGGCTAACACTCAGATGCCATGGCAGAGACTTAGCTGGGGCCTGCCTCTCCTCACCTCAGAGTCTCAAAGCGCAGCATCCCCTTAGACCTTATAGCCCTGTGCTTCCTCTCATGTTAGCTGTTCATGATTCCTTGGCCTCTTCCAGCAAACAGAGTATACTCGGAGCATCCTTGGCAGTTTTCAGAACAAGGTTGGTTATTTTACATCTGGCTGGGGACTTGGCCCAGGAATGAGTTAAAGGCATGAGCTAAAATACTTCTTCAGTTTAGACCAGAAAGCTCCATGTGATCAGTCATCTGCAAGCTCCTGCAGCTTCCAGAGCCATGGTATTGGGCCATGCATGACCTCACCCCATGCTGGTGATGTGATTAGGACTGGCTTACACCACCACACTGGGTTTCTCAGTCAAAGAAATCTGGGAGCTGGGTTTATGTGAGCTCAGCTCTTGCTTGGTCATCTGTTGAGTCAACCCAGCCACTTGCTGTTCCCACAGCAAATTCTCCTTCTGGGTAGTCCTCACTGGCTTTGAACTCCATTAGCTGTCCCTG